TTTTGTACAGACAGTATTAGGCGTTAGGGCAGTGGTGGCGCACCTATGGCACGCGTGCCAGGGAGGGCACGCGGGGCCCTCTCTGCTGGCACGCGAATATTTTGCGCATTTTTGCCGCTTGATATTGCGAGAAGTCGCCGGCCAATGTTTTTTCAATGGAGCTGTTCTAATGTACAGCTCCATGTCGCTGTCGCTTCAACAGGACCCTTTTTCCCGCGGATGTCGCCCGATGTTTCTATTTTTGAATGCAGCACGACGTTGAAGATCGCTGGAACGTCGCTCCGAACAGTTGCGATATCCCGGCCCCGCTTGTCAGGTATGTTGCTTGGTGTGAATGGGGCCTAAGGCACTGATGTTGAACGTTTCTTAAACCCGAGCGCCCGAACTGCAATACAGTACTAAACTTATTTTCAGCGCTGGCACTTTGAGGTAAATTAATTAATTTTGCGTCGCAGTTTGGGCACTCAGGTTCAAAAAGGTTTGCCATCACTGCGTTAGGGGGTACTGTTAGGTGTTCCACTGAAGGCTAAGTTAAAGAGTTATTAAACCCTCACGGTTTTTTTTTCCATACATCTACTGCTAGCAAGCAGTAGATATATGCAAAAACTTTAAAAAAAACAAAACCTTTTGAAACGGGTTTAAACTTACCTGTGTCTTTGCCGCGCGCTCCTGTCGAAACATCTGACGAGTCTCGGGAGGCCGCAAAGGATCTTGGGGCAGGCGTATGCGCAGTTCAGATGTTCGGCCAGGAGACGAGGAGAGACACAAGGTAAGTATATGGAGCAGCGTGCACTGGCACAGACACAGTGGCACATGAGAGAATAGGAGGACAGAGGAGTCAGCGCTGGATCGGAGACCTGCACCAGCGCTGGAGGGACAGCTAAAAAGGACAGTAAGGAAGAAGATGATCGAATAAAGAGGCATCGTTTAAGGTAAGTCCTGACACTAACATTGGGTGGGGGGAACAAAATAGCCTTTAATGTCACTTCAAGTATCAGGGTTAGAATATTGGAAATCTGTCAGGAACGTAGAACTAATGCCCATAGCATGAGGAGGGCTCGAGTTACTACACGCACTATGGCACGCAGAAACGAGCATAGTGACAGACGAGCAGTAACTGCGCATGTGCAGTGCACGAATTGGTGCCAATCGGCCTATTTAAACCCCAAGCAGCAACTGATAGTTGCTGGAAGATCTCAGCTGTACCTGTACCTGTGTTCCTGTATCTGAATACTGTGACTGACCCGGCTTGCTCCTGTTTCCTGCTGTCTGCTGCCTGCCTTCTGACCTCGGCTTGTCTGACTATTCTCCTGCCTCCTGATTCGGCTCCGATCTGTCTGTTTGGTTCTGGCCCGGCTTCTACTGACCACGTCTACCATCCGGATTCTCTTGGCCTGCCAGCCACTGACCCAGTCCACCTGAATCCTGCATCTGGCTTCCTGCATCTGCCATCCTGCATCTGGCATCTGGCATCCTGCATCCAGCTTCCTGCATCCGGCTTCCCTATCCTTACCAGCAGGTGATCAGCATCCACAGGCACTGGTATCTCTCTCTGTTCGTGCGCTACCTGTGCCATCTCCAGGGGTGCTCTGACGAGAGTTACGAAAGGAGCCTCCCTCATCATTCAGACCATACCAGGTACGTGACAAAATACTTACTGAAAGAATATAAAGGCTGCCACTTTCTGACCCATATTTCTTAAAATGCTATTTGCCTAGGTATCATGCTGATCCAGTGACTTCAATATTTTCTGAGGCACTGACTTGCAGAATGCAGATCAGAAGACAGAGATCAGAGACATCCTGGCAACTAGTATTCTTATAACAAGTTCAGCAATGGAGGCCTCCAGCTCCTCTCAATAAAGATTTCCTTTATGGGATATGGTTGTTTTAAAATCAGCTTTAGGTTAAAAAAGAGCTCCAAGAAAATTTCTTCTTAACCCTTGCAGTGGGGCTCACTTTGGTCTAGGTGCAAAAATAAAAAAGTTAAACTTACCAGATCATTAGAACAGTCTTCCTGTTAGACCAGTCCTTTCAGCCTCTATCCTCCTCCACTGCAGCCGTCTAAGGTTCCTGGGTCATTACATCCTATACACAGTGTATAGGATATGAGGTCACCGAGGGACATACAATTGTGACAGAGTAGGAGGAGAGAGGCTGGAGGGTGCACTGTAGGAGCCAGCTAACTCCAAGGCTCAGGAGAGCATAACTTTTTTTATTATTGTACCTAGACTAAACTGAGCACTTAACCCTTGCAGTGCAGGGGTAGCCCCACTGCAAGGGTTAAGAAAGATTTCCCCCTGGACTTCTTCTTTAAGTCTTTCAATCTGCAGTATGCTTGCTATTTCCATAGCCTTCATGTCACATTACAGTGCCAGTGGTACAGCTGGCAGAATGTTTCACATGATTTGTAAATGCCAGGTTAATTAGATATATATGAGCAAGGCAAAACATATCCACAGCTGTAAATGGGCCTTTCACATAATTACTATGTGTCTCAATTTTGGAAAGACAGCCCTGACTTTGAGAACATCAAAGGGATTACAAATAGGAGTGATTTGTCTAGATATGGGCAATTTTAAAAGGGGTTTGTGTTAGGCAAACAGAGGATCTTATAATGTCTCATTTTGGATTCTAAAATAATGGTAGGAATATTTTCATCAAAGCAAGCAAGGTTGTGACTACAATCCATTATACCATTTATACTCTATCAAATAACAATAAAACTCACAGTGAGAGAAAACGAAGCTGCAGCTTTCTTCCCATGTACTTATGCTGCCCTCACACTTTTAACACAATTTTGTTTAACAAACATTTACAGAGTGTGATTATATAAATTAATTTCCAATGCAGTGTAAAGCTGTAATGGATTATAGCTTTTATCTGTCAGCTTGATAACTAAATTGCTATAATAAATATGGTACATTCCAAAGAATGTCATTTTTCACACTCTAATGTAAGAAGATAAACAGCTATACCAAGGGAAAACTGACAAGAAAGTTAACCCATTGTGAGGCATTACAAGTTGATATTGTATATTATAGGATTTTCGTTTCAATGTGTTTTTTGCTGGACTGTAAACCATGCAGAAAATACTGAACCGCAGCAGCAGAAACCTTTGGAGCACCTTTAGAATAGGGTTTGTTGCAGTGCTACAAATATACAACTTACTGACTTTATCAATAAATAAGAAACACCAGCCTGGTCTAATTTTTCTAGACCTGTGGAAATTAGTCCCAATACAGGTTAATTTGCAGTCTTCCCCAGCAGCATATAGTCTCCTTTCTTTACCCCACCTGCACCCTCCTGCTTCATTCATTGCATGGACTGAAAAAGGTCCTGTGTAGGGTAAAAGTCACAGGAGTGGTGGTTTACACGCATTGTTGGACTCCCATTTGGCAGTATTGATATGCCCAGTGCTGTCACATAGAGTCACATAAAGTCAATTACATGCTCCTCCATACCAAAGAGTACTGTGAATTTACTTTGGTTCCTGGTGCTAAGCAGAGCAGCAAGAGAGTGACCAAAGTGTAGGCATCAGTGATGAGTGAATGTGCAATTTCAGAGGAAAATAGCAGGCAGGTTCTAACATGAAACAAAAATGAGAATATGATATTAGAGACAACAGCCAGAAATATTGCACAGACTATATAGTCAGCACTGAAGCAGTTGCGGTAGGTTGCATTTTGATAATGACACACAGCATGCAGCTTTTCATTGTGAAAATCCATATTTAAGTGTATAAACTGTATGTCACAAAAGAAGTATTATACAGACTACTTAGACAGCACTGCAGAAGGTAGAGAAGGCCAAATTGTTATGACGCAGGCAGCTGTTCAGGACACAGCCACATTAAAGAGTAAATTTAACACTAAAAAGTAAGGAATATTGTACAGACTCCATAAACAGCATTTACACAACCCAAAACAACACAATATATATATATACACTGTATCACATTCAAAATTAATAAATGTAGTACAGACTGCATAGACAGTATTTTAACAATCCCTAGTAGGTCTCATCTGCTAAATCACATGCCTCATGCAGCTTTTGAGGACAAAAACCCTATTAAGTGCATATTTTTAGATTAATAATGATGGAATATTTTACAGACTGGAGAATATCTTCTAGGCCTCATTGGTTATCATATACCTCATGTAGCATATAAAGTGTATTGTTCTAACATTAATAATGAAGGCATATTGCAAAGAATCCATAGGCAGTATTTCAAAAATGTATTGTAGGCCTCATTTGCAAAATCACATTCCCTAGGCAGCTACTGTGGAAAAAAACACCCTGAAGTATATATTTTTCACATTAGGAAAAGAAGGAATATTAAACACACTGCATACACATTTGAGCATTATTAGCATATACGCATTTAAGTACTATCAAACAGGGTATAATGTGAATAGTTCAGAAAAAATACCATTGCTTTATTTATATAAATCCACATATAAATTTAGTTCCACTAACTAGCACAGTAAATTATAACATAAAATGCCCACTAACAAACATATATACACTGTATATGTATTTGTTTACAAATTGAAAGAACACGTTTCCATGCACTTAATAAAATCTTGCTCAAGAAAATCTTGAAAAACAGTATGCAATAATAGCTAAGGACTTATTCTCACTAGACTGCATCTTTTTCCATTTTTACAGGAAAGTGTTCATGATTAAAAACAAAAGCAATCAATAATAACTGTTCAAATGCATTGCATTATACTACAAAAATAGTCCTACTCAACCATCAGCTGAGCAGTACTACACAAAGATACCAAGGTAAAAGTGTAATTTTTGCAACAAGAATGATGGAATTATGGCAACAAGGTTGTATAAGTAATCCTGTCGATGCAAGTTCCACAATGAAATCACGAACTTGCTCAATTGTCACTTGCATGCTCTTCTCTTTACCTATTCTAAAGAAGTCAACCTTATGAAGCATACAGCTCTGTTACTATATCTGGGAACTATAAGTTTAATAAATGTTACCTTTTATTCCCTGTATACATATATAGATTGCCAAGTTCATGGAGGGCTTGTGCTTTAAGGCCCTGCTGTCTGCCCGAATGGAGGATTTCTGAAAAATTATGAATAAAAACAAGAAATATTACATTTATCATTACTTTGTGTAAATAAAAAAATACACAACACAACTATGATAATGACTGTAAACCCTTCATTTGGCCACGTAGAACACAAGCATTACACATTTCTTGCACCCAAAGAATAGGTAGTGATTTTTATTACCTATCAACTTAGTAACGGCCTTGTTTTGACTGAATTGTTTCAATCAGTTTGTCATCAGTTGGAGACACTTCTGAGATTATTCAGAATTTACTGACATGTGCATTTTACCTGCATTTTACCTACTTAAAGACCCTAATGGGAATGCAAAACCAATTTGAAGCAAACAAAATCCCATAGACACAGACGCTTACCGAGTTAGGTTTGGAAGCTTCTATATATACATAGTGATCGCTGAAAGCTCATGTACAGAAGTATAAACTGCTGTCTTCTATCACATGTACCATAAACCATGAGGGTAAAGTGTACCTGTGCCCAGACTAATAAATTGTATAAAAGCTTTACAAAAAAACCATCCCTGACCTCTCTAGCTGGCTAACTGCATGTACTATGGAGTAATTAATTATCAAAAAAACCTCAAAGGTCACAACAAAAAAACCTCTAAATTCATACTAAAGTCGTACTTTAGTCAGTTTATAACAGCTATGAAACATCTAAGAAACACCTACTGTGTGCTTACATAAGAGGGCTGGCAAGCTGCTTTCCATAGAAAATAGCTGAGACTTCATTGCATTTGTGAACTTAGCAATGAATTTCTACACAATGCCTACAGCTACAAAGGGAAACACTAGCTTGTGTAAACAGATTTTACTCCCTGTTCATACTAGGTAAATACTCTGGTGTGCCTAGCATAGGCACAGGTTCACTTTAATGTAGCATAGGCATATTTAATTGTATGTATGTAGCATAGACACATTACATGTATGCATATGGCTTCTGGAACCGATAGGAGTATGTTCACTTTCCAGTTGACATGCTTCTAACAGTTCATAAATTCAATGTTTAATTTGTGCTGTGGTATCCAGAACCATTAAGGAGCTGTGTAATGGTTCTAGTACAAATGAAGTGCTGTAGGACATTTTATTAATATGCCTAAGTCTGCAGCAGCCGAGTGAACTGTCCCAAACAGAAGATCCACCACCTGACTAGGGTATTTTCAGAGGGACCCCTTACTACTGTAGCCTTCACCCCCCAACCATTCTACCAATAAGGCACACCAGACTTACATGGATTGCCAAAGGCCACAGCAGCACATGCAAGAGGCTGAATGTAAATGATGCTTGATTGTTTTCAATTAATTTCCTAATGTACCTTAGCAAAGTGAGATAATTTTTTTTAAATGTTTGCTTTGGATAAAGCAAACAGTTCTTCTTTCAAAAACTTTCTATCGTCAGATTCTTGCCCTGTATTTATAACCAAATATATACTAGGTGGGGTTAAACTTTAAACGTGTTATATCTTTTTTGTAGAACATATAAATGTCTTATTCAAATATAAATAGATGTAAAAAAATGATGTCCAAGTAATACATGCTAGTGAAGAGGTGTTTCTTGTTTTGTTATTTTAATATATGCACACAATATAAAAAAATTTGAAAACCATTGAGGCGTAAACTACCTCCGGTTACAATGTACAATAAGATGCACAACTTTGTTCTATTGTCTAGAATGGGCTGCATTTTACACAAGACCTTTACTTATTAGGTTAACCTATAATTTGTTTGTGTGGAAACAAATTTGCAAATAAATAGATATGTCAGTAAAAGATAAATGATGTACTGGCAAGTTCATGGCATACTGCGACAGGGGGCAGTGTCTGCTCTTACAATACTCAGTTCATGTTGGGAAGCTATACTGTTTCACAGTGACAGCATGAGGGATTTTAAAGGCCACTTTAAAATCCCATATGCATACTAATCTATCCCTCAGATCATCCCCTCCCTCGACATCTTCAACCAGGAGATTAAACTAACTTGATATATTTGGAACTATTTTCCTGTCACTGTCCATCCTTAAATTACTTATTGGATCTGGAAGACATTAATCCCCAACCCACAGATTAATTGATCTAGCAGTGTGTCTTATTATCAGTCAAAGAATAAATGTCTTACCAATAGTCTTGTCATAGGAAGCTATAACAACTGAAAGTTGTGAAGGAGGGATTGGCTTGTTTTCAATAGAATACACAGACACAAATTCTTCTTCTGAAAGGTCTGGAGGGACAGACTGGTGAGCTTGCAATGCTCCCGTGGAGAAACCGACTTTTCCGTAGGAGGTGTGCATACTGCTAAGCCTTTCTTGTACATTAAAGTCTACAAAGGAAACACAAATTTTGAGAAATCTCAAACTATGTACAAATTATCTACATAAAGAATAAAAATATACTTGCAAGCTACACGCAACAGCACAATCAGCAGATCTTGGCACAGACAGCTTATAATCAAACCTTCGCTATATTAATTTCAACTACTGTACGTCTGCAGATTGTCCCAGTTCTGGTAGAGTCATACTTTTGAAGGGTTGTTTTAGTGTCATCTCTCCAGTCAGCACCCTCCTGCTTGACAGTTTTTGTTTGTGAGATTCACAGAACACTGATACTTTACTGGCAGACGGCATGTTCTAGATCTGGCACTACATACAGATAATGATATGTCCTGGCCCGAATATCTAGTGTTGTCTCCTTGTATAAGTTGTAAGTTTCATTTCAGGTATTACATTTGGATAGTCTGTCCTGGTACTACTGATAGGTGTTATCCAACGATATACTGAATTTATCTCCCAACAGCAAGAAAAAAAAGATACTGTTTTGTAAGGATCTGTAGGATCTGTAAGGATTTGTAGTGCAGCTTCGTAAACTGTTCATTCATAATCCCCAAGCTTTTGTTTTGTTGAGGCTGTTATTGCTTTTAGTCTTCCAGAAACTTTACACTCACATCCTTCTGTTACTATGAAAAAAACTATAACTTTAGTTATAGTTTTGAGTGACCTACAGTATGTTAAAGCTTAGTCACTACAGGTCTCAGCATCACTATCCAGCTAAATATTTCAGCTAAATAATTCCAGCTAGATACTCCAGCTAAATATTTCAGCTAGATAATTCCAGCTAGAATACTCCAGCTAGATAATTCCATATAAATGCCATATTGGCAGATATTTTCTTAGTCTGTATGACTAACAATAATGTGCAAGATCAAAAAGTGGGACATTAATAAAACATGTGCATTACTGGAAAAAGATGCATGTTCTGCACTTTGTGCATAAAGGTGAACATGTGAGCTCTGTGTTACGTAGCCATTTCCATTGTGGGTGGGTTGTGAGCTTAGCCTTCCTGCGTGTGTTGTACTGAAGGGCAACATTTACAGAGAAATTAAAACATGAATTGTATACTTTGTCATATGATAATTATGGTTAATCGTTTCCTATATTTTGCAGGGGCACAAACAAAGTCTGCTAAATACAAAATATGAGTTAAAGACTAGCATTTGTACTGGAATTGAATAGTTCATAGAAATAATGATAATAATGACTCTCAGGCATTAATAATTTGTAAATATGTTTAAAAGAGAACTATGGGGTAAGTGTTTTTCCCCATTGTTCTCTTAAGGGTCAGGGGAGGACATAAACTAGTATCCTCCCGTGACCCAAAGCTCATAATATCGTGAGATACAGCTTGCGTTATACTGAGCCCGCTGCAGCAGGGACGGATCCCGACATTACTGTCGAGATCCATCAAGCTGCATGATTGACAGCTGGTTCTGCCTATCTAGAGGCAGAGCCAGCTGTGCCTGCCCCCTTCCCCATCCGTTCCCCTAGTCAGAGCTGGAGGATCGGAGCAGGGAGGGGGGAATCCTTGCAGGGAGCTGTGAGTGGCAGTCACGGCTCTCTGCAGGGACCTGATCAAGAAGTGAGCGAGCGACGGTATGTGTTCACTCACTTCCTGATCTATTGAGCCGACCTGTGACAGTTTCATTGTCACACGTCGACTCGAACTATGAGGTTGAGTGAAAATCACTCACCTCATAGTTCTTCTTTAAGTCTGGGTTAGCATTTCATACAAGCATAAAAACATTTTCACTTCCTCTTGTGTCCCCAGGTCAGGAATTGAAGGGAAATCTCTCCAGTGTGTAAGCTGGCTACAAAGAAGACATGAAGGATTTTAACTACTGCCAATTCTATCTAAAACAAACAAACATCTTTGGTTTTAGATATACTTTAAAATGACTCTTGCACCAGTTAAGTAGGTTCTGTAAGCAGAAAGCTTACCTGCCGCTCAGCAATGGGTTGTTGGTTTTAGAAAATGTGGTAGATGTAGAATGTTTGGTTCCTATTCTCTAAAAGACCCCAGCTTAGTGATGCATGACATACAGTCTAACAATTAGAATGCATGTTTATGTGGGAATATAACATACTGGAGTGAATTTATCATAGAAATTGCGAGTGTTTGAACTTGTACAGAATATATTTGCACCAGATTTATGATGCTAGTGTAATGTTGTTGATAAATGAGGTTTAATAGACTCCAGGAAAGAAGACTTGTACACCTTAAAGAGTACCTTGTAAGCCTCCCCATGTGATGGCAGTCAAAGTAAAGTAAAAAAAAAAGTTTTTTAAATTGAAATAAAATAAAATAAATCTATCAATAATAAAAAAAAAGTCCTCCGCGAGCAAGCGCATCGCCACGTAAACACGCGTCGGGTGCGCCTACGTATGAAAATGACGAACGCGCTACACATGTTGGGTATCGCCGCACACGCCGGAGAGCAATATTTCTAGGGCCAGTATTTTGGGGTATCTCTAAATTGATGACCTGTGGGGGCTTTTAAAGCGTCTTCTATGGACTTTTTGGGGTAGTGCAGTTTTTCGCCGTTTCACGGACGCACGCAATTTGTAACCTGGACATGTTGGGTATCGTTTTACTCGTTGTAACCTCATCTTTTATATTTCATTTAAAAAATGGGTAATTTGTTGTGTTTTGGGGCATTTAATTAAATTTGTCACTAAATTTTGGGGTTTAATAAGGAGTTGCGCTAATATTGCGCAACATAAAAATTTGCAACTACCACCATTTTATTCTATAGGGTCTTGGCATTCAGAAAATATATAATGTTGGGGGGTTTTACGTCATTTTCAGGCCTAAAATGTGGAATATAACATGGGTGCAAAAAATGAAGAAAAAGGCCTCAGTCATGAAGGGGTTAACTGTCGCTTCTTGAAGAAGTGGTCATGGGGACTTCTTAAGTTGTGATTGCTTTCTTAGGTGATGCTCCAGTTTCATACAGCCCCAGAACAAGTGCAGATGAAAACAGGTGCAAAACATGTGCAGTTGGAAAAGCAGTGCAAGCTCAGGTGAAAACAGGGGCACATGTTAAAAAGACAGATTTGCACATTTAAAAAAAATGATCTAAGAGGCTAAAACTGTTGCAATTGCTTTGATCAATTCCCCCCACTGTATTTAACAATTAAAAGGCAAGTTACAATGCCGGACCGTAGGGATTAAAAAGTATACATATGTACAATTTCAAGTGTTGATTGAAGTAAGAATGCCACCAATCACTGTAGAGGACCAACAGCGAAGTAAAGGGAAATGGGGGGCATGGCAAGTAGAAGCTTGAATTGTGAGCACCAGTCAGGGTTAGCATAATGGAGCACACTAGGTTTACTATCTCCATGACTGACTACGCAGCTATTTAAGAATAATGCAAGCACACTGTAGACATGCTTTCAAGACCAGGTGGTAGTGTAATACTGGGGGTGATTTTTTTAAAGCAGTGCTTACATCTCTTTTCCTCCTATTAAAAACAAGTTCATGGGTCTAATTTGGCTCAATAATGTTTTCTGTAATGTTATAAAATCTTTGTGTAGCTCATCCTGCGATTGCTTTTCTTTTAGCAGCCATTGAGGAAGATTGATGGCTGCAGTCTTGTACATTCATATGGAAAGAATTTACAGATTTGTATTTGAAATTGCACTATTAAAGTTCTGCAGAGCAAACAAGCTAAAGTTACATAAAAATTACTTTTAGACAAATTTTAAAATTAAAGTTCACTGTGTTCTCATTGAAAACACTGCATGGTTTCCCTTTAATCTAACGTTTACCATGTAAGCAAACAAACTTTTGAACATGAGCAGCCATTAGTGAGCTGCAGTTATAACTATATCAAATGTTTTACATATACCAGAAAAGGTTTGACTCGTTTTACCTTGACTGTAAGCAAGAAATAACATTAGTAGTTTTCTGCTGTGTTTAAGTGCTCTGCTTGAATATTTCGATTTCTGAAGACTATCACGGAAGCAAGAAAATGTGTCCATCACATCCACTGGCACACATGTAGGTGTCTTAGGTTTTCTACTATCTGCAAGAAAAACACAAAAATTGTTGGTTTTATAGCATTTTACTAAAAATAATGACTTAATTGGTTAGATGGGTTAATTACTCACTGCTTGTGAGTAATTTGTGCAGCAATAAGGAGATGTGCCCTCTTTATATATCTCCTCTATTTATCAACTGAATCATTAATCTGGAATTGTAACTGCGGATGGAAACAAAACAAGTGACTCATCTTCTCAAAAACAGTTTTATTTTGTAAGCACTTATACTTCTAAATGTATGAACCGAACTTAGTAATGTAAACATAAGAAGAATGAAGGTCCTGCTGTTGCTTATGAGTGGATTGCAATAAAGGCAAAGTGTTTCCTCTGTGTAATATCAGTGAAGTGCATCTTAAGCTTTAGATTTTTAATGGTGCACCCAGTCACAATGGAAAACTAGGCGAAGATGAAAAGAAAAGTAGATTCTGTTGCTTAAAGTGTGTTAAGCCCAAGCTTTCTGGTGAGGGTTAGAACCCACGCCAAGTTTTTACTGCTACCCGTGTCCGTCCTGGGTAAAAGTTATGCTCTTTCTTTGTCCTGGTGACCACTGTCACTAAAACAGATGTGGTGGAAAATCAAAAACTTCACCAGATGTCTGTCTTCATATTTTTGTATGTGTAATACTGGATCATATACATGTTTGAACTGTATTCAGTGCACGAGTATCAAGGAAGTTTCGTCTTTTAATCAATCACATAGAGGTTTTGATATTAAGACAAATGTCAATCAACTTGTAATGTGATTTATATTCTTAAATGCCCTTGTGGGTTACTCATTTAGCTCACTTGTTGTTCAGCTGGAAGCCGGCAGTGTATTAGGAAGTGATACAAAGTATCGCTGAGGAGAATACAGTATCTCCTCAGAATACTAAGTATCAAAAGCCACTGTAAATAATAAATTAACCCCTTAGTGTAAACTGTTTTTTAAAGTTTTAAAAAAATGTAAAATAAAAAAGTTTAAAAAAAATATGATTAATACAAAAATTATAAGATAATATAGTACTGATGAGGCTATTAAAGGTGGGAGACAAACATACCACATTCTAAAATTGTTCCACACTAAAATTGTATTTCACTCCTTGTATTTTGTGACCTATAACTCCCAACATAAAATGAAATCCCAGACATATGATATACCCTATAAATCAGGACAAATAAAATAATTTATTATGAATTACTTTCTCTTAGCTACACTGATTATGTACACATTTTTATTGCCAAAACTGTGGAAAAAATTGTTGGTTTTTTTATGTTTAAAAAAAAAAAAAAGAATTTATATATGCATATGTCAGATCAAATTAAAGCCAATTTTGTCATTTAAAAAACAGTATGTAATATGTGTAGGTACAATTAATTAGTATAGTGCATTTTCTGAGTAAAGAATAAAACTTCCATCACACAATACATAAATATATTATTTACATGAAAATTATATTATGAAATAATACATTTACAAAATATATAATACTTTCAATAACTATTTTTTACATAACTGACCCGAATGCCTTCTGCCTTTCTATTGGTTGCAGCAGAGAAAGATCCTTTGAAACGCTTCATGCACTTGTATACATTTTCACCATCATCCTAGCAAGACTACATCTAACTTTCCACAAATGTATCAATTAAATGCCTAGCAGCAATAGTCAGAAAGCATGTCTTTGTCGAGTGCATTTTCTTTTTAAAATCATACAATGATCTGTTGGGGTTGATTTACTACATGCAAATACAATGTTCACTTTAAAAGGGAGTTTTCTCTTTCTTTGCTTAACGGATAATTTCCCTTTCTCCCCAAATGTAAGAAAATTCCATTATGAACACAATCGCACTGCAGTCCTGCACTGAGCTTTTATAATAACGCTTGCAAATGGCGAGCACTTATTGGTCAGCATGACCACCAAGTGCACTGGCTGCCACACGAGGATGGAGGTTCAAGATAAAGGTATGACCAGCAGGGGTGGCGAGAGGGGTCACATTTGTGTGGGTAATTTAATTTTCTCACTTTTGACAAGAAAGTGGAAATTCTCTTTCATGAATGTGGTGCAAATTCAGTATGCAGTATCTTTGTTTACATATGACTGGATGATGGGCGCTATTTACTAAGTGAAGAAAAAATTCCATTGTAAAGTAAACAGCCTATTTGCTTTTGGTAAATCAACCCCATTACCTTAGGCAGTTTCTAAAGTTTTATATACTGCTGTGTCAATATTGGCTTTCCCTTGAACATTACCAGTTTTCGGTGGGCGCCAACTATAAAAATATGAAAAATAATTATCTTGTATGCAGTTAAACACAGCTGGTTGCATACAATCATTTTGTAACGAAGCATTAAAAAAATATTATTTGCACCGTGACAAACTAGTTGAATAATCTAAAAGTACAGTTTGAGATTAATAAAGCGTATACCTCCCCCCCTTATCATATTTACAAAATGCCATGTCCCTACAAAATGGGAAAAAAGGGTTCAGACCTCTATTCAATCTAATACCAATATAGATGACAAAGAGATAGAAAGCTATTTCAAGGTAGTTCCTCTTTTTCTGTAGATCAAAATATGACTGCTACTCCAAGTACATCTGTTCATGATAATTAGGAAAGTGCTCAGGGATGAAAGAAAATGTGTTCATTTGTGTGATATAAGAAATGTTGTTAATTGTATATTGTCTGCTTACAAGTACTGTATATAAACAGCTTATCTTATGAAAGGGCCATACTTTTTGCTTTACTCATTGATTTCAGAACATTTGTCTCTCTGTATTGCCAGCATTCTTATAAAAACGTGGCCTTAAAAACGTATCTTCTTTCTCATTGGTTAACTTTTATTTTCTCTGTTAACTTGATGCAATGGGCAGAAAAGGAAGATTCGCAACTTTTGAGGGAAGCTTTAACACATCACTTAAAGCAGGGGTCTCCAAGCTTTTCAGTACAAGGGGCACATTGTATATTCAGGGGCCCAAAAAAAAAGGTTTGTAAATTCATAAAATAACATTGTAATGAATAAGTCCCCACTTACATCCCAGAGCCCATCAGGGCCCCCCTTATATCCCGGAATGCCCTTACATCTTCAAGTGCCCATCAGAGCTTCCTCTTACATCCAGGAGTGCCCATCAGCATAAGGATTTTAAGTTCTTACTTAGAGCAAATTTATTTTTCATAAACGTATTTTATTGACTTGTAATATGCCTCTAAACTTACTAGGGAGTTGACACTCCAGAAAGTGTAAACTCCCTAGCACAGCCTCCTACTACCTTGCACATCATATCCCTCTCCTCTTCTGGAAGTGCCTAATTATGTGAGAGCTCTGACTATGCTGGGGCTGCTGACATCACATCCAAGATGGCAGGACCCATCAGCACTCGCATGGCTCTTGGATATCTACACAAGGGAGAATTGGACAGGTAAATAACATGCCTAAAGTATATTAACGTGGCAACAAACTCAGGAGCTAAATGTTGAAAATCCATTTAGGTACCTTACTTAATAACAAAAATGTAACTTTGTGTATCACACGGCTGTAGATCCTCAAATCCTATCTGAATTCATGCTGGCACTGTCCTTCCTTCTGGAGGGTGGCTACTTTTGTTCCCCATGTTTCCGGTGTATGTTGTAAAGTAACCACCGCTCCAAGCTCACTCCCTTGATAGACTAAAAACTCATGTTTAGTTTACTAATTTGTATTGAGATTGTAGTCCATCACAGGAGTGAGCTTGGAGTGATGTCAACATTACAACACGAACAGGGACCCTATCACGTAACTGGCTGGAGACTGGTTGGATGAAGGGGCTCCCCTTGCACCTTGTGTCCCCCAAACTCTGAGGATGGGAATAGAACCTGGGAAACAGCAAGTAGCACGAGTGCCAGTGGATGGGGCAACTCTGTGCCAGGCAGAAGTCCAGAATCAGGATCGGGTATAGCAGAGCAGAGGTCACACCGGGTGGACAGCAGGGTACCAGAGCAGTAGGCAGAATCAAGGTCAAACAAGCCAAGGGTCACACCAGTTGGGCAGTGAAGTACAAAGGATGAGGCAGAGGCAAAGTCCAGTAACAATTCCAAAGTCAGAAGGCAGGAATCAGGAGCAGTCAGGTACAATCTGGGTCAAGATGCAGGAGCAGAAATCAGGCAGGACAAACAGGATCACAGGGATAAGCTGAAAGACCATCCAGCAACTAAGCCCAGGCTGTGCCTGCTTTAAATAGGGTGCTCAATTCAGAGGTACTACATCACTTCCTGTGCGCCAGATTAGCGTGTCTGTGCCCATATGTCCACATGCGCCTGTTTTCCTCTTGTACGAAAAACTGGACCACACACATGCGCTGTAGACCTGATTACCTTACATACTATGATGCACAAATAAGATACATTTTTATTAATAGTTAGAGTACTTGAATGTATTTTTAAAATGTGACTCTTGAGTTTAGTGTCACTTTAAATGCACATATAATCTTATGGGTAGATTGTGGTTGAAATGATTGGTCTGGCAGCAATGTCTCTTAAAGCCCTTATCTCAGATTAAAACACATTAGAGAGGAGTGCTGGCAGGTTTATGATAATTTACAGAAATCAAGAAACATATCTGAACACCGAAGAAGGCAAAAATGAAAGAAATTGTTTGATGATGGCACCATTACAGAGAAACTGCAGTAAAAAAAAAAATGTCAGTGTCTTCCCATGGCATATCATGCCATATTACTGCTTTACTCTGAAGAGTAAGACAATTTTTTTTAACAATACATAGTTTTCTCTAGGCAGACTCATCTCATCTTCCTAAAATATTCCCCAAAAGTCTGAAATAGGAAGTATCCTAAACACCTCGTCTGCTCACTGTCATGGCATGAAAGGTGCTACTTTTTCAGTTGCAAGTAAGACAGACTATAGACAGAGCCATATTAACAATACACAGTGCCCAGACAGGTTGCATTTGTATATAAAAAAAGTAAAATAGAGACATGTCTATGTAAAAAACAATCTTTGTGTGATATTTGTACAATCAGTAAATTTCCTTTTTATTAGGGATGCACCGATACCGATACTAGTATCGATATCGGTGACGATTCGGGGTATTTGGGCGGGTACTTGTACTCACCCAAATGCTCCGATGCCTAGCACGAGTACTTCCGGTATCAGGCAGCCGGGCAGCGCGTCATTACAAGCTGCCCGGTTTCCCGATTGGCCGGGAAGCAGCTCTATGCTCCCTCGTCACTTGTGATGAGAGAGCATGGAGCCGACTTCCCGGCCAATCAGGAAGCAGAGCAGCGCATAATGACGTGCTGCCCGGCTTCTTGATTGGTTGGGAAGCTGGCCAATCAATAAGCTGGCCTCGTGAGGTAAGGTTACCTTACCTTAGTATGTCCAGCCTGTCACCCCGGAGCCGTATGGCCGGCCAATCAGGACGCCGGGCGCCGTGTAATGACGCGACGCCCTGCTTTCTGATTGGCCGGGAAGCTTTCTTCATGCTCCCTCGTCATCTCATGACGAGGGAGCATGGAGCTGGCCTCCCGGCCAATCGGAAAGCAGGGCGTCGCGTCATTACACGGTGCCCGGCCAGACGTCTCCGGCTGGGTACCGGAGGAGGGCCACGTTCTCGCTGGAGAGGCCCGGGGGTGACAGGCTGCACATACTAAGGTAAGAGGGGACTTTCTTGTTAATCGGGAAGCCGGGTGGCGAGTCTTTACACGCTGCCGGGCTTCCCGGCTAATCAGGAAGCCAGGTGGTGAGTCACTACACGCCACCTGGCTTCCTGAATGGGACTTCCATTACTCGGTAATTGGTATCGGCGAGTACCATAACAAATTATCGGTACTCGGTACCCAAATACCGGTATCGGTGCATCCCTACTTTTTATAAATAGTTTTTTTTTTAAATGCAGTAACTACCAAAGTCCTGTGTGAGAGATTGAAAAAGTACAATAGTGTGTTTCTGCATGCATTACGGATGATGGAGAGAAAGAACATTGTGGATGTTTATTTGCTTAGGACACAAATGTATGTCAAGTTAACAAATGTAATATAGCTCTGACCTGAATGAACAATGTGTCCCTTCCGATCAATATCGGCTCCAGGATTCCTCACTTTATTACACACTCTGCCAACATGAGGCTGTTTCCCTATATAATTCCTGCAATGCATCTAAAAAAATCAACAGAGAAAAAGAATACAGCTGAAAGCTTATGTTAACAAATCTTTTTATTCAATTTATAGTGTGCATGTTCTTGAAATAGCATAACAGCAATGTGACTTTACAGCTAATCCAGTGTGGGGGAGGCAAGGCTGTTTATCTTGTCCTTTAGCAAAAATACAGTATCATAACTGCATTTTATGTTTCACCAGCAGATCTTTCAAAATGAATGTGTTATGTACTATTTTCTTTTTACGTTGAGCAGAAATAAAGGTTATTGGAATCATTATGTCTATCAAGAACTCAAAACAGTAAAACTCTACAGTTATACTTCATGACACAGCTTTGCATGCAGTAAATGAATATAATTAGCATGATCGCAATGGTATACAGGTATAACAATATAAAAGTAGTGAATATAAAAAAGGATTTTATAGATACAACAGTTAAAGAAACAGAATGCAATATGGGTACAAATATCAAAAGAAGAGAAAGGTAACCGGCTATAGAGGAATACAAATCAAAGCAACCCCTAGATTTAACTGTAAACGCAGAGTTGGTGGAATGTTCATCCATAAATGCCTGTACTGTCTCCAAGCTGTAGCTAGATTTACAGTGGAACAGCAGCCATTTTTTTTATTTACATCTTTTAACCAAACAGAACACAGATGGTTATAAATAAACATAAGTAAGACTAGTACAAGATCATAAAGGACATACTCTTTTTTTACGGGCAAATTGTTTTAAGAAGGGCTACAAAACTTTCCTTCAATTAAACTAAATTTTCTGAGCATACACTTAAAGACCAAAAATAAAAAAATATATTTATTTCCATGATAAATATTATGGAATTTTTTCCACAATATTTATTATGGAAATCATTTTTTTACTGGTAAACACAAATATATTTAAGTTTGTGGTGATAACATAAACTATACATTTTACAAACGAACCTTGTCATCACTGTTGCCCGGTTGTGTGTTGATGGAAGAATCACATGGCCCTTTTGGTTCAGAAATACTGCCAACCAGCATCCTCTGTGCATAAACGAGGAGTGGGGTTACTTGCTCAGTAAATCTTTCACTGTTGTACAAAGAAAAGTATGTTAAAGCTTTACGTATACCACTTATGAACAGGTTTCTGAATACCATTTATGAGTTCATATACCTGTCTACAGTATTTAATGTAACATGGTACATTTTCACAGAGATCATCAACTAGCACTATTATTACAGAATATTTTCTGAATGATTAGTTCCTTTAAATTCCTAGCATGTAATCTTTTATTTTATGGTACTCTGAAAGCTAATGAAGCCCTGAGCAGAAAAAAAAGACACATCCTGCCTACAGTTGAAGTTACTGCTACTATTGTTGGGATGCGGGACATAGTGCGGCACATGCGGCAGATTTACGAACTGTCAATCCTTCCAAAAGGAGATATGAAAAACAATTTTTACTTTTGTTGGAGGAAGGACCCATGGCAACCAATTATACTTTACTGGATACTGTGAATACAGTATATACGTGCATACTTACTTTATATATGGTAGGCAGAAGGGGGTCTAATTAAGTCAAAACAAGGCCATAAAAAAATATGTGCTGCAACACTTAATTATACATGCATCTGCCCTTACACTTTTCTCTTAGTTCCCTGCAAAGTTCCACATACACCTGTTGATCCTGCCAGTGAAGCCCACCTAATGCAGCTTCCTGTGATGGTGTGGCAACGCTGCTGGGCTGCTCTTGAATTCAGAGCAGAGTTTTCAGGGATCGGCTAAAGGCAGACAGAGTAAGAGATAGCCATACAGGTTGGAGTAGGCAATTCCAGAGGTCAGGGAGAAGCTCTATGGAGCAAAGTGGTCAGTTTGGTGATAATTTGAGATGAGGTTGGTGATGTAGCCAAGGGCAGAGTTGTGGGTGGCATTGTATGTTGTTGGGCAATCAGAAGCCATTGAAGGGATTGTCAGAGAGCGGTGGCAGACAATGAGTGGTTGGTTAGGTGGATGATTTTGGCAGCAGCATTCATGACAGACTTAAGGAGGGATAGCCTGTCTCAGAGGGAGGGTTTTATAAAAGGTGGGAAGAAATTTTGGGTAACCACTTGGTTTGGCTCTTTCCTACAAGATACCTGAATATGTTTACAAAATATGGTTATTGGAGAAAAAGGTGGACATAGGTGTCACTCACTTCGATGTCCCCATATGAAATTAAAGTCTAAGTAACTTTCTGCAGTTACCAATAGAAAGCTAATGACGCATGAAACAGAATGGCTAGTAGTAGTAGTTTGTCAATTTTAACTGAAATTGTTCTGTAATGTAACTCAGTCATCCAAATCCAATCATCATGGTGTCTTGCAATGTGTCAAGATAGATGTTGATTGTACAAAGCAGAAAGTGTGACAATTTGTGAAAAGTTGGGAGTGTCCTAAACAAACCTGTGGTGTCTAAACAAAATTACATGTGTTTTCGGCAGGGAGTATAAACCGTGTATTTATCTACTTGTCTGGAATTTACTTTCCAGATGGTGTTGTAATTAAGTTTGAAAGAAACTCAAACTTTTGCAATTAATTAATCCACATCAAACAAATATCAAATATATATTGTCCAGCAAAGTATTTCATTACATTTTTGCCCAAGCATTTACAGTCATCACGATTACAATCAGCTGGCTCCAACTCTCTCAGCTCAGCTCCCTAAACGTCTTGTCCAGTACAAGATCACAAGGAACAGAGCAGTCTCGTGCAGCTGTCCATCCAGTATCTTGGAGAAGGGAGGAATGAGTGAGAGGTAGCGGGGAGCAGGGTAGTGACTTAATGGTAGCCCAGTAGTGCTTGTGTGTTTATGGAGACACACACAGTTTACTAGCACACACAAGGGTGGCTCCATAGCCACCCAAAAATAGGAAGTCAGGACCAGTACTCAGGGGACCAGCTGATTCTGCAGGAAGCTAAAACTTTTAAACATCAAGGAGTAGCATCCATTGTAAGTTACATATTTAGCATTTGAAATAGTTTAAAAACTTTGTTTCTTAAATATTATCTTAAGGATGGTGGTCCATGTCAAGAAACCCAAGAAACTGGCATCACTGGATTTTCATGCTTTAATATTTATGCCAGATTAGAAAATGCTTACTTCAAAACAGTAAAGTGTAATAGATTTCACTCAAGATATAAGTTTAAAAATACATATAAGTTGAATTTGTTTTTCAGATGTTGAGAGACTTACTGAGTCAGTATATTGAACTGTACTGCTACATGAATCAGTGTTCCCCATCTTTTCATGTAATATAAAACTTCTATGGCTTTTAGAACCAGATCACACATCCAACGCATGTCAGTTACTGTGACATCATCAAAGGGGTAATCAAAAGTAAGATTCGATCCACCTTCTTCATCGGCAATGCCACCAATACAGCTGGGCACACTGAACTTTTCATTCTCATCAACAACCTATGAATGCAAATTGCAGTATGTTAGATATGAAGCAACAATTTTGCCAATAATTAATTAATTGTTCTTGATGTGAACTGAGAACTGCAGGACATTTTAAGAGTATATTTATACAACCCGTGCAGACGGAAAATTGGCATGTCTTTGAACATTCCGTTGTTTGTTGTTGCACAGTAGACAGATGCCCATGGCAAAAAGCAAAGTGTTCCTCAGGGCATATTGAATGTTTGTATAACTTATACAAGGACATTTCTTATAGCATTGCACAGAAAATTTAGTTTAAAGATACATTCTACTGGCCGAAAAAGACAAAGTTCTCACCTTGTCTTACTGCACAGGGATAGACATTTGCATCTCTGTACCATTTTCCCCAGAGTATAGAGTAGCAAAAATCGCTCCAATCTGATCTGAGAGGGCTGGGGCTTTTTGCTGCCAGTGGAAGGAACATAACATGTAGGGTGATGGTGATAAGTTTAAATCTTTTGTGGAAGCCATTAATTATTTTTTTACAAATTTGGATGTGCTGTGTTTTTGCTTTACAACATCAACAGGAGTTATACTTCAAGCATTCATCTAAATCGTTTTGGTTTTTTTTACTTTACAATATATATTTTTCATCATGCCGTGGTTCACAGAATACAGGGTGTTCTGTAAATGGCCAAATGGAGAAAAGGCACATAAATGGAACTAGCGTTTCCACCTATGAGAGCTACAGCTCACATACTGGTGGGCCAGAAATACAGTGGAAGCTGTACTATCTGTCATCAAAAATAAATATAAAGTACAGGCAGCGATACAGACGTGTCATACACCTCAGCAAGGGTAACTTGTTACCACCAGAAATTACAGATGCTCATTGCAGGAGTTCTACTTTGAAGCTTAATGTCAGCCAAAATGTTTTTCTTTTCAGTTTTGTGGAGATCAGAGAAGAGTTATTCTGTCTTTATTTCTGTCTGTAACCCCATAGGGGAGATTTTCCCTTACTTTCTGTCCCTGTCACACTAGTACAGAAGCTGGTGGGCATGTAGTCGCCTCTTTTGATAAGAAGTTTTGGTTGGAGTTAAGTCAGGTATACACGCTTTTATCTTCTCTGTTCAACCTACCAGCTGAATTAAGAAAATGGAACAGATTCCTCCATCAACGCTTACGAGCACTGATCAAGGAATCTCCTGCTGTTTCCTTTGTATTCTGACAGTGGCCGATGGCTGTTGTCAGAATACTCGAACAGAGCCGGCAGCTCATTGGCTGCTAGCTCTGCCAGGTCGACAATTTTCCAACATGCTCATTTGATCAGCTGATGCATCAAGAACTGGCTGGCATGTATACACGGCTTTAGGCTTTAAGAGTGCAGATTCAAATGCTTACAAATACCCATTCCTGACTGGTTCTCTTTAAGCGGGTGTCTGAAAACATTTCACATATTCACACACACTTATTAAATCTTAATCTTAAACTTATTATATCTTAATAAGCATCATCACTTTGTGTTTTGTGGTAAATACCATAAGAAATATCCCAAACTGCTTTGCAGGACACTGATTGGCTGCTAATGCTCTACATATTCCCATAAATGTTACTGTAATAGATCCAAATGCATTTTATTGTAACAAGAAGCTGACATTTTTTCCCATGTATAGCCATTCAAACTTTACCCAATCTGCAGTATATTTGACAGTTATTTCTTTATCATTTAATTTCTTCATCCTAATTTCTCTAGTTCTTTAAAGGCCTAAAGGAATTTGTATTTTCCAAATACACAATAAAAATGACCTTCAGCAAGGAACATGTGTGGATTTCTGTGTCTTACAGACATGCGTAAGGTGATTTTTGTTCTCAAGCAAATATAATAAAGGCTGTTTACAGTCCACCCTTCATAAAACAGGCAGTGAAGGGAAGCCGAGACAAACACTAGCTAAGAGCTTTTTTTATTGTGTCTAAAAATAAAGAATCAGTAAGAAGTGTAAAATGTTACTGGGAAAGAGTAATGTGTGTTGGCCTTGTACCAGAATTTGTTCAAGACACTAATGAATCATGTGTAGCATGAAACTAGTGTTTGCCAGCAGCTTTATTCCTCTCTGATTCTCTCTGCTATATGGACATTTTTAATTGACTGTAGTAAATGCAACGTTTTATCTTCAGCTGTCTGGGACAGAACTTCATTTCACTTGGGAGTGCCAAATATTTACTATACAAACATATCTTCTTTGGGGACACATTTACATTTTTAAAGTGTTAAATGTATAATTTTGCAGTCAAATTCTAAAGACAAAATCATCACCATGAAGCTGATATTTTTACAGCTTGATGAGCAAAGCCCTTGCATAATGGGAAGGCGTAATGTGCCTAACACAAGCCCTAGAGTTAGAATTACTTAATTGTGGTCAGTGAGTGGTCATCATGCTTGCTTTGATTTTCAGGGCTGAATTTCAGTGATAGTCAATGATGGTAGATCATTGCTCCTATGCATCCCCCTGAATCTCATAAAAAATAAATGTACTGCACTTTAAAAAGGGGCATTAATCCCAAAACTAGTATTTTAGTTGTTTGGAGATACTGGAGAGTTAAACTGGAGACAATAATACATAATGTGGAGCATATACCTTCAAAGAGTCAGTGTTTTGCAGGGCAACTATCATGTCAAGGATCGAGTCTGCTGCAAAGTACAATGGCATCCATATTTCATGGTTCAGGAGGTCCTTTGTGATTGGAAAGAATCCTTTAGTGGTATCAAATCCTTTAGCAGTCACTTGCAATTCAAGAACAAGGTTCCAGAGTACACGACACACATTCTGGAGTAATGTCCAGTGTCTTCCTCGATGTGCAAGAACCTGAATATTTAAAAAAGACAAAGCCCTATTATTCGGCCCACACTATTAAATACATCTTGAATTGTAAATCTATAAAGTCACCACATAACAGTAAAACAAGGTAAACTTAACTTTTTTTTTTAAGATAATGTATTGCTGGAGGTAATTATTATGGTAGAGTTTTTAGAATGATTACCTTTAAAGTGACACTAAACTCAGGAGTTAAACCTTACAAATGCATTCAAGTACCTTAACTATTAACAAAAATGTATCGTATTTGTGTTTCACTCATGAGTAGATCATTCCTGAATTGCTGCTGACACTGTCGTTCCTTCTGGAGGGTACCTACTTTTGTTCCCCATGGTCCCCGTGTGTGTTGTAGCCACCACTCCAAATCCACTTCTGTGATAGACTACAATCTCAATACAAATAAACTAAATGTGAGATTCTAGTCCATCAGAGATGCAAGCTTGGGCTCATGGCTACTTTACAACACACAGAGGGACTATGGGGAACAAAAGTAGGTACCCTCCAGAAAAAAGGAAAGTGTCAGCACCAATTCAGAGATGATTTGAGGATCTACAAAGAAGTGATACACCAATGATCTACATTCATGCTAATAGTTAAGGAATTAACGATTCAAATGTTTAAGATATAACTGTTTAAGATGAGTTTAATGGGACTTGAAAGTAATTTTTATTAGACTTGCATATTTTACAAGATTGTTGTTGTATTAAGCAATAAAATATGTTGATTAGCACCTAAAGGAAGTTTTCAGTGATAAAGTGCAATCTCTCTCTCCCTCCCTCTCTGTCTCTCTCTCTCTCTCTATCTATATATATATATAT